CCTTTGTCAGGGCGTGTGATAAGCAATTCTTTGTTCTGTCTTAGTTGGTTGAGTTGTTCTCTATGCTCTTTGGTCAAAAGAATGTTGAACTTGGACTTTGTATTGAGATACTGTTGACAGGAGTCTAGAATAGTAGACTTAAAATGTTTGAATTCTTCTTCGGAAGCTGGGACAAGATCAGTAGTCTGATTGATCAAATTTTCAAACTCGACATAAGTATTGAGCCTGCTTATGTTTGAGTTCATGTCACAAAATCTTGGTCCAAGAGACAAGAGATCGCCCTCTTAAGAAAGACACTGCTCGAGAATGGCTACCCACCCCGTTTTATAGACAAGCATATTAAGCCTAAGACTTACAAAGAACAACCCACTACAGTGCAGAAGAAGATGGTCTACATGAATGTACCCTTCAAAGGTGACCTTCTGGCTGACACTTTGAAGAAGAGGATATCTACTGCTCTAAGAAGGACATTCTTCGCTGCAACACTACGACTGACATTTTCCTCCCGGCCATTGTTCTTCAACTACTCTAAAGATAAACTATCGCATTTGACCACTTCCATGTGTATCTACCGATTCACCTGCTCTTGCGGAGCGAGGTATATAGGTCGTTCGATGCGAGTTTTATCTAAAAGAGTTCAAGAACACTATCCCGCCTGGCTACGGAAAGGTAACAATGGAGCAATAAGGAGCGCCATTATTGAGCATGTACTCAACACTGGTCATTCGATTTGCAAGGAGAAGTCATTCAAAGTCATCTATAAAGTCAAAAGAAGCCTTCCAAAATCGACAAGCTTCCGTATACTTTGTATTGCCGAAGCCTTAGCGATTTGGATAGAAAAGCCTGAATTATGCACACAGAAGAAACTTCTCCACCCCCTCCTACTACCGTGGGTTTAATTTCAAGTTCATCTGTCATCAACATTTTGTTATCAAAATTTTTTGCAATATTCGTATAATAATTTTTAGTAACTAACCCATTCAATCTTTTCACCTATTATCTAGTTTATTTTCATAATTGTCTCCATACTCCTTCACGAACATCTAATCTTTCTAAACATGTCTATATTACGTAACCCTACTCACATCTTACCAATTTTCACCCCACTTAGTTACAACTTTGATTATTAATCACACATTTTAATTTCTATATTATTTTGATGACGTAACCCTACTCACATCTTACCATTCCTCACCCTACTTAGTTACAACTTTGATTACTATTCACACAATTTAATTTCTTTATTATTTTGATGATGTAACCAATAACCCACACTAACTGTTATTTTGATTTTGATTTTGACAAACCTTATGCACACACACACAAAATTAATTGTATATATTTGCGACTGTACAGCTAAGAGAATGAATTCGCCGAAAAGAGACTCTTCGCTGAACTTGTTTGTTCTTATTTCAATGTCTTAATGGGTATTTTTCGCGAATTAAAAATAAGCAAGGACCCTCTGACAGTGAAGGAACTGAATGGGTTTCTGCGGTATTCTGTCAAGCTTGCTGAAGTTAATGCGAAGATTAGTTTTCTCAGAGACTGTATGAATAATCATGAATATCCCAAGTGGTATTGGAAAGCTCTACGTCGCAATCACATTTATCCGAACTCGAAATCCCTCAAGCGTCATACCCTGAACCATATTGATTCCATAATATCACGTGTGCCAGAACTCGAGAGGAACATAGCGCAACGATCCTCTGCGTTACACGAATTGTCTAGTGATGAACGACAAGCATTTACCGACTATGTCACTCTGGTTACGGAGAAGCGTACACAAGCCATCCATTCTAACTTATTGAAAAGTCTCAAAGCTACAGAAACACGAAGCAAGTTTCCAGAAGATCCCAGCAAATTTGTATTCAATTATTCTTCAGTAACGTTATCTCCCATACAATTGGAGGCCTTGTCTCTTGGACCAAGATTTTGTGACATGAACTCAAACATAAGCAGGCTCAATACTTATGTCGAGTTTGAAAATTTGATCAATCAGACTACTGATCTTGTCCCAGCTTCCGAAGAAGAATTCAAACATTTTAAGTCTACTATTCTAGACTCCTGTCAACAGTATCTCAATACAAAGTCCAAGTTCAACATTCTTTTGACCAAAGAGCATAGAGAACAACTCAACCAACTAAGACAGAACAAAGAATTGCTTATCACACGCCCTGACAAAGGTACAGGTATAGTCTTAATGGATAGAAAAGATTATATTGATAAAATGGTGGCGATTCTCTCAGATAACAACAAGTTCTCAGTATGCGAGAAAGAGAAAGACAAAACCGAGGCAACGGAAAAACAGCTAACTGAGATCTTGAGAAAGCTAAAAACTGATCAAGTTATCCCTGAAAATGTTTTCGAGAGCATTCGACCGACAGGTTCAATAATACCCCGACTATACGGATTGCCAAAAACTCATAAACAAGGTCTTCCACTGCGCCCTATTTTGGACATGTCGGGATCTCCGTATCATCCAATAGCGAAATGGCTAGCAGAACTCCTACAACCTGTTAGAGAACGAATTTCAAAACATTCTCTTCGAGATACTTTTGAATTCATCGATTGTATCAAAGATGTTAAAGTGGGAGACAAACGTATGATTTCACTCGACGTCGAGTCTCTCTTTACAAACGTCCCTATCACTGAGACGATTTGTTTTCTATGCAAATACTTGGAAGAAAACAACCTGAATATTGGAATACCTACCACTAAGCTAAAAGAACTCCTACTCAGATGTACCCTAAATGTCCAGTTCACATTCAATGGGAACCTCTATAGACAACAAGATGGCGTGGCGATGGGATCACCTTTGGGTCCGGTGTTGGCTGATATTTTCATGGCAAGTTTGGAAAATGGTCCGCTGAAAGCAACCATCGACAAATTCTTCTTATACAAAAGGTATGTTGATGATACTTTCGTCATCTGCGATAACAATTGTGATCAAAATATGGTTCTCCAAGTGTTCAATAGTTGCCACCCCGCCATCAAATTTACAATCGAAGTAGAAACCAAAGAGACAATCTCCTTTCTGGACGTTCGTTTAAGTAAGAAGACCGATGGTACCTTGAACAGATCAGTACACAGAAAACCTACATGGAACGGTCAGTTGACAAACTTCTACAGTTGGGTACCAATTAGTCGAAAGCGAAACTTGATAATATCTCTGGCGACTAGAATCCGAAAAATCTGCAGTCCTGAATCAATAGAAGAAGAGATCGCCCTCTTAAGAAAGACACTGCTCGAGAATGGCTACCCACCCCGTTTTATAGACAAGCATATTAAGCCTAAGACTTACAAAGAACAACCCACTACAGTGCAGAAGAAGATGGTCTACATGAATGTACCCTTCAAAGGTGACCTTCTGGCTGACACTTTGAAGAAGAGGATATCTACTGCTCTAAGAAGGACATTCTTCGCTGCAACACTACGACTGACATTTTCCTCCCGGCCATTGTTCTTCAACTACTCTAAAGATAAACTATCGCATTTGACCACTTCCATGTGTATCTACCGATTCACCTGCTCTTGCGGAGCGAGGTATATAGGTCGTTCGATGCGAGTTTTATCTAAAAGAGTTCAAGAACACTATCCCGCCTGGCTACGGAAAGGTAACAATGGAGCAATAAGGAGCGCCATTATTGAGCATGTACTCAACACTGGTCATTCGATTTGCAAGGAGAAGTCATTCAAAGTCATCTATAAAGTCAAAAGAAGCCTTCCAAAATCGACAAGCTTCCGTATACTTTGTATTGCCGAAGCCTTAGCGATTTGGATAGAAAAGCCTGAATTATGCACACAGAAGAAACTTCTCCACCCCCTCCTACTACCGTGGGTTTAATTTCAAGTTCATCTGTCATCAACATTTTGTTATCAAAATTTTTTGCAATATTCGTATAATAATTTTTAGTAACTAACCCATTCAATCTTTTCACCTATTATCTAGTTTATTTTCATAATTGTCTCCATACTCCTTCACGAACATCTAATCTTTCTAAACATGTCTATATTACGTAACCCTACTCACATCTTACCAATTTTCACCCCACTTAGTTACAACTTTGATTATTAATCACACATTTTAATTTCTATATTATTTTGATGACGTAACCCTACTCACATCTTACCATTCCTCACCCTACTTAGTTACAACTTTGATTACTATTCACACAATTTAATTTCTTTATTATTTTGATGATGTAACCAATAACCCACACTAACTGTTATTTTGATTTTGATTTTGACAAACCTTATGCACACACACACAAAATTAATTGTATATATTTGCGACTGTACAGCTAAGAGAATGAATTCGCCGAAAAGAGACTCTTCGCTGAACTTGTTTGTTCTTATTTCAATGTCTTAATGGGTATTTTTCGCGAATTAAAATTTGGATTAATTTCAGCGTGAATCTAATCGCTAACTAACAACAGTTAAAGAGAAGTCATATCATAGTGAAATGGATGTTCATTGGTGACAAATGTTGACTATAGCGCGATATCACAAAATGACAGAACATTACGTTCACAGGTCATTGAATTCTGGTACAATTGACTAGACGGTCAGTAAGCTAGCCTGGAAACCTGTAGAACACCTTGGTCCAATCTCTGTTAGAGTTATGGGTGCAAACTGTCATCCGTTACTCTCTGGTTCCCAAACGCTTTCTAACTGATGCTTGTTCGTAACGAAATTTACACTGAAATTCATCAAAACCCCTAAACCCCCCCCCCCCCGTGATCTAGACGTAGACTTTAGTTTTATTAACAGCATTAATTTCTTTCCTTTTAATAAATATGAAAGTAAATTGTATTTTTTGACTGTGATTGATTAGTGTTGCCTTTCAACTGCTTAACATTCATGCATTATCAAATGTCAAACTGTTAGACAGTATCACTTGTCTTTTATACATATTTGCCTTTTTAGTTGTGGTATATGACTGTCATTTTCACTATTTTTTGTTTGTTTTTTCTTTTTTGTCAAAATTTACTTTCAACCAGATCGATTCATGGACTAGACCGTTATGAACAAACATTGATTACAGTTACAGCAAGGTAAGAATACTCCGTATTTTATTTTATTTTTTGATAAAGTTTTAACTGCATACTGAGTCTTCATGTTACGTTCAAATTAATCTTGCCGTCACGGTATAATTTTTTAAATGATGATGTTGAAGCTACTTGTTGTTACTGATTAACAAAGAATGGTAGTTATCATCCTTCACGGTCAAACGTATTTCAGCTACAGAAATAAGCAGATTCATAGATTTCAGCGTGTTTCTTTATTATTTTTATAGCGAATAAAATAACGGGATCAGGGACTGTCATCAGATAAGTAAGGAAATAACTACACTTCGATGGTAGTGGTGACATTCATAACTGGATATTACGATCAAAATGTTTAGATACACGATGTCTTATACTTCAATCAGAAATTATTATAAAACTTATATCATAGCAAGTCATATAATGATTCATCAAATTCTCCATATTTACATAAACTTCCTTGTCTTGGTTGAAGTATAGCACTGGTTCTTTATTATTGTTCCAATAGGTTCCAAGGGGGACACATGGCTTCAGTAACACACTGTCACTACGCTGTTCTTTGGGGTCCTTTTTAGCTGGCTGTACGATCGCACATAAGCTCTCATCTTCTCCTCCCCATCACTCTTTGACGCTCAACTCGTCGCTTCCCATTCGCTTTCCACTTGAGGACTTTATGTTTGATGTCTCCTCAGCCTGTCTTCATTCCATCTCCATTTTCTTCAGCATATTTGTTGGACTATAGATTCTTGGTTAGCTCGTTACCAGAGTTCCTCATTGTTTACCCTTTCCGACTAAGTATCTGACCCCTCCACTGTCAAACCAGCAAAGATGGAAATTCGAAGAAAATCTCCTGCAGCCTGTTAAGAATCCTTTCGGTGATGTGAGCACCAAGTTTACGAAACACATAGAAGTACTGACTGATTTTACATTAGTGGTGAAAAGTTGAGTCATATTTTTCATGCTGAGTAAAGCAGATTTCAACTCTTACTTCATAGTAATAAAGGTGTGTCTTATATTTCCGATCCTGGCTTTGATATCCTCATCCATGTCACCTGTATCAAAAAACGATGCTGTCTGGATAAGTAAAAGAAGTAACTTCTTTTAGGTTTACCCAGTTAATGGTGATTGGTGTTCCATGCAGCTGGTCCGGTGTTTTCATCGTCTCTGTCTCCGCTATGTTCTCTTGAAATCTTGTCTTTTGTGACTCTTCTACCACCCTCTTTGTTTCTGCCTATAGATCTTTGAGTTCGTTCAACAAAAGTCTCTTCGTCGACTCACAGCACTTATGTGGGGTAATTATTCCGTCCATTATTATTTCATTTTCCCAAACGACCCTTAGTTCTTAAACCCGGTGGTTGGGTAATTAATAATGAATACTAAGAGGAGTTAGTCAGAAGGTAGCCTTGAAAGTGTGTTTGGATCTTGTTAACTCTCAGCAGCAACGCGCCTCCATATTCCAGAAGAGATTCACTTCATTTTGTGATTTGAATCGGTGTCACTCCTTTTGGTTTTTAGATGCTGTTCAGGTCATGGTTGACCTTCTACTTTCCTAGATTTCTACATAAATTAGCCATTGGATTTACGTGTTTAATCTCAAGCATATTGATCGAATTCCATTGAATGGATCACTAAGCCAAGTAACACCGCTCAACTTCTTATTGCTTTTGTCTTTTTTAATTTATTCATTTTCGTTCTCAGTGGAACATACAGCTTCAAGTTACAGCTTTGAAGTTTCAGTAGCAGTGGTGTTTCTTACAGGATGGGGTTGCTAGCCTTACTCCCAACCTCTCCTCTTCACTGGGCTTATTGCTCGTCAAGTGAGGTAAACGTATGTGTCGGCCGGGGATAGAACCCCGAACCAATTGCGTGATTGCCCATTGTTCTACCAGTAAGCCACCGACGCACGCTTCCTACTGTGGTTAAGTTTAATTTGGCATTATGAACAAAATATGCTATAATGGATAGGAGTATTGTGTTACTCAAATAGTTAAGTACGACACACACACACACACAAAAATACACTCCTTTAACCTATAAACAAGTTGACCGGTTTCACAAAACACGCCGAAAATATTTTCTGACTTCATAAATAGTCATTCAGCTTTCGATTAAATTATACCAATCCTCTTCTCATTATTTCTGTCGCTTTCAGTAATCTAGTGGTGATAAAATCAATAGAGTAAAGAGTGGACAGACCACATGATTAGGCTTATTATCCTTCTTTTGTTTATCAAATATAAGTTAGTTTGACCATTTGGTTTTTAAACAACAACTAGGCAACTTTCAACTGCAATCACTTACTGGTATAAACAAAAGTATTTTTTTCTTGTGTGTGTGTGTGTGTGTGTGTGAATGAAGGAATTATGTAAAATCGCAAAACAACACAATGTTGTTTTAAAAAAAAGCGGCTAATGAAATTCAGTTTTCTTTTTAGCGTACTTTGTCTACTGCCAATTTCACCAGATATCTGTAAATTCTTTTGTATTACAGTTTAGCCTTTTCTAAATCCAGTAATTTTTCATTCCATTTAGAATATATACAATGAAGCCTGGGACTGGTCAACGTATTTATTTAGGTTCTTCATTCTCCGATAAACAATACAGTTCATCTGCATATTCAATGCCACCGCATTTCAATCAATTCCATGCACATGAAGATGGTTCTAGTGAAATGAGATTTGATATAACCAGATTACTACCACTTTGGTCTTTAGTCGTCAAATCAGTAAGATCTTCTCATCCATCTTCTGAAATCAACGAAGAAGCTGGTGGTGGCGGTGCTGCTTATTTACACCGTGATGCATTTAGTGGTAGACCATATTTAATTGGACGATTTCCAGGAAAAGTAGAGCTAAACTTAGTTGCTACTCTTGGTGATATACAACCCTTATCAACCTTATCGATTGAAGTTGTTGATTTAAGGAGTCCACAGGATCAGCCGAAATCTGTGTATGCTGATAATCCAGATATAGTTGCATTAAAAGCTGAATGTGTTGTAAGTTAGTTTTATTGACTTCAGATTGTTTCTTATTTCGTTTTTTTTAAATGTGAAGTGAACTTCTACTTGAAGCAAACGATAGTTTTAGAACCACATTTGGGTAATCTATAAGATAAATCTACAAGTTTTGCCCAATTTGATTCGGGGTGATTAATTCTAATTTTAGTCAGAAACTGTTTTCGATTAAAGATGAAAATATTTGTTTTAGAAAAAAATATTCTATCAATATTTAAAATCATTCATTTTAAAGCGCTAACTGTGAATGAATGACTTTTATAATATTTTTACGGCATTTTCACACTCACATGTCTCTTCAGTTTGTGAACTTGAAAGACAGAAAGACACTTGTTCATATTTGAATACTACAGAGATGCTCGAATATCTCTAAAGAATGTATTTACTTGGGAACTAAATACATTGGACTACACTTTGGAATCATTGTGTCAGAATCAATCATTTTGAAGATATGAGACATTACATTGCTGGATAGGTCGAAAATAGTTGGAGGATTTCATCATGAGCTGGACAGCTGTTTCGTCCTAGTCTGGGACTCTTCATCAGTACGCACTCATGACCTTCGGGTTACAAGACAACTTCGTAGACCATTGAGCCCATGGGACCCGATCCAATGGTCCTTGAATTCTAACTTCTGCCAATTCACGACATAGCGCGACCATTTCTCAATGTCTTTTTCGATGAGTTACTGCCCCATCTTCAACCTGCTGTACCCTACTGATCACGACTTCCCACTAGAACCCAAGGTTAACTGCCTGAATAGAGCCGGTCGCTAGTGAGCATCAGATTAATTTTCAAGTATTGGTTTTGTAGGGATTTTGTGTTTGATTGCATGGAGAATTTCATTGAGGACCATTGGATTGGGTCCCATTAGCTCAATGGTCTGCGAGGTTACCTTGTAACCAGAAGGTCCTGTGTTCGAACCCCGGTGGGTGCGCACTGATGAAGAGTCCCAGGCTGGGCCGACGAAACAGCTGTCCAGTACTCCCAGGTCTCCCAATGTTTCTCTAACTGATGTCAGCTCATGATGAAATCCTCCATGCAATCAAACGAAATCCCTACAAAACCAATACTAGAAAATAGTTGAATTCAGGTATTTTTCCTAGTGAAGCTATTATAAGACCTTGACAGACTCATGCTTTTACTATGATTCTATGGTGTGATGAATAAAGACTCAGCTTGTAAATTACATTAGTGATGCCAAACTTAACACTTTCACAAATGTCTCATTTGCTTTCTAAGACTCTTCTTATGTTATTTTTTGTCTGCCCCTTTCGGTTTGTTTTGTCTACAGTGGGAATGCACAGTGGTTATCGTATTTAATTATATCAGTAAGAATAGTAGTAAGAATTTGTAATTTCTAAATTTTTTTTTAATGAAGAATTGTCTTTTGTTCACGTTTCTCTCAGGATACCAAAGTAGATTATAGTGGGATAAGAGGAAAAAGGTAAATCGAAACAGAGAGAGAGAGAGAGGCATTAGAGTTATAAAAAGGGGGCTAGGGTAGGGTAACATTTCTCAGCTTCTGATTACAAATATGTAAATTAGTTATTTTCCAAAATATGTTTAAAAACAATAATGACGGGTGATTTCATTTCCTTTTGTCTATCCTCTGAGATTTGTTGTTTGTTTTTTTTACTTCAGAAGAAATGGTAACCCGTTGTATAACAACCTTCACTGAGTTTATCTGTTATACATATATATAGTCTTCTTTACCTTTCACCATCCAAAATTTATATCCATTTACGCATTGATCGACAACGAGTAGTACATATAGTTCCAACGTAACTAATCTTTCCACATATCACTCACTGATGTACTATATTTTTGCTCACATTTTTTTTAGTGTTTGACGAACATTTTAAAATTATGATACATTAAAGAGAAAGATATTCGTCTGAGTAGGAAAACAAAATAAAATTAGTCGGGATTTCGGAATGATTACAAGTACGAAATAATAGAGAGATTTTCAGTGTTATTCTTCCCTTGATTCCTTTTTTCTAAAATATGTTAATACGGATAATTAGAAAGGAAATTTAAAACAAAGACGTGTATATTTATCAATATGTTAATAAGATGAAGTTGTTTTCGTGTATTATGGAAAAGATAGATGTATTAAGAGCAACAGCAACAACAACAACAGACAACAATCAGCCAGCATCAATCGGAGGAACCTGAAAATAACAACCTCCTTTACCGACCTGGGAAGCAACGTTTCAACTACAGGCGGATGGAACTGACGAGGATATCAAAGCAAGGATAATCCGAAAAGCAAGACAAGCTTCCATTACTCTTAAGTCTGTGTGGAGGTCAACAGCCCCACTCAGCATCAAAATTAACATCCGGATTTTCAACTCCAATGTGAAGTCAGTCAGTGCTACTCACTATACGGATCAGACACTTGGACAGCGCGTCATAAAGAGCATCTCAAACAAACTTCGGACCTTCATCAACAGCTGTCTTCGCTCAATACTACTCGAGATCAGATGGCCGGCCAGAAAAGATCAGCAACAGAGATCTCTGGGAATGAGCGAACCAACCCAGCACGAACCGATTATGAAAGAAATAGGCAGGAAGAAATGGAGTTAGATGGATTGGCCATATTCTGAGGAAACCATCAAGTGACATCAGTAGACAAGCCATTGCTCGAGTGGAAGGTGAAAGGGAAGCGGTGAGTTGGTCGTCAGTGCGAGGGTAGGGTGACTTGGAGGAGGTGATGTGAAGAGGAGATGAAAGCGTGTAGGCAGACTTGGAGCAGGGTGAAAAAGTTGGCAGAAAACAGAAGGCAATGGAGACACATGGCTGAAACCCTATGTTCCTCTAGGAATTAAAGGATATAATAATAATAATAATAAATTAAGAGATACTTCAACTAAATTATTTCTTAATTGTTGATGTTAGTTGGTTGGAGACAATCAGTAGGAAGCCTTTTTGACTTAGATTTCGTGCTAGTTAGCACTCAATCGTCAGCAAGGCGTATCTGAAACTTTGAAGGAACTCATATCCCTTCTGAGATTCAAACGCGTATCACCTAAGGCTCCAATCAGTGACGTTACCACTGAGCCATTCGGGTTCGACTTGACCTTCTGTAGGGCTGTGCTGGATGCTTTCTATTGGAGACTAGTCAGTAACCTGTGTAATGTGTCTAGTCCTTTATTTGGTAATAAACTGAGTTCTATCAGTCAAGTCAATCAAACTATCCAGTACAGTCCTTCAAGAGGTCAATCGCTAGCCTGAATAGCTCAGTGGTAACGTCTCTGACTGCAGCACTAGGGTTCGAATCTCAGAATGGACGTGAATTCCTCCAAGTTTGAAGATACGTCTTGGCCTTGTTGACTGGTAATTGCCAACTGACACGAAATCTATGTGAAGCAAGGCTTCCTGACGATTGCCTCCAATCATCTGATATCAGCAATTCAAAGTGCACCATGATGGCGAGCCACCTAGAATGTTGGCCACATATCCGACGTGACTGACAGAGTTCAGTCTGCACCAAAGGTAGGACTACACACATCATACTAGTTACTAGTATCGAATGAAAGTGAATTATTTCTGTTTGATTATTTAACGCATGAAAAAGAAAAACCAAAGGTATTTTAATTGTATTCAGATTTCATCACTAACCTCCATCATCCAGAGAGAAACTAAAATCTGTGGACCACTGGAAAGCTGTTTCTTTCTATCTTGAGACTCTTCAGTAGCATGCATTAACGAACGCATTAGGGATTCAATTTAAAATCCTAAGGTTATGATGAGAACCCGTCAACCATTCAACCATTGAATTGAAATCTACTGACGCGTCAATTTTAACTCCTACGCATAAGTGATACAGCGACACTACCACTATTTAGTCCAAAACTTTGACTCCCTAGCAGTGATTGTTTCCCGATTCCAATGTTTCCCTGAATTTCTCGGTATTCCTTAATCTAATTATCTATGTTCCTAGGATTTTCCGAATTTATCATTTAACATTTCAGTCTGTCGAATATCGTAGGTAGAAAATCTCAGTTGTAGAGTATTCATTGAAAAATGATTTATCTCTATATTTTATTGTCTCTGTAAATAAAACTAGTCCAGTGATCCATGACTTTTAGTGTCTGTCAGTTCAAAAATTCAAAGAATCTGAAGCTTATTTAGTTTTCATTTAGAATGGTATCTATGGAAGTTAAAACTTTAGTCATTAAGTAAAACGTCATGAGTTGTACATTTTGATAAAATAAACGCAAGAAAACTCAACATGAATTCCATATAAAGATGGAATTGAGGTCCTTTTATATAAGCTAGTCATCTTTTTTTCGGTAAATCAACAGCAGTAAACAATTAAAACAAAAATAATAAAATGATTAATAATAATTTAGTCTGATGATTGAAATGAGTTCAAACATTTCTATTGGAAAACATCAATAGTTCTGTGAACAGTGTAGTAAGTATGAGAAGTTATACGGATACTGATTACCGTTATCAGTTATTTCCCCTACCTGGTTATTCATTTGCGGAGAGATTATTTTGGAGATTTAACTAGATAGTTTAACTTTGTGCTAATGTGAATGTACTTGTTAAGCTATTGATGGACGATTGCATGTCAGATGGCTTTAGATGGTTTTCCAAAACACAGAGAATACATCTATTCTTATACGTTTAATAAAACTTTTTAACGATATGTTATGTGTGCTAGTGAATATCGTTGACTTGAAGCGTTCCGCTATCTAAAGAAATACTTGGTACAGATCAGAGGAGTAGTGTTCACTCAGAGCTTAAAAATGCATCCATATTTTCAGAACTATTAGTCACTTAAGTATATCTCACACACATGACTCTTATGAGGTGAATTCTCTAATGAGTAATGTACCTCATGAAAATAAGATTTACATTATAAGCTTATACTTGGATAATATTTTGTCCCGAAAATATGGTTCAGATATTTCATGCTATTAATCTATAGATGTTCAACTCGATTTCGATAAAGGTTCAAATAGTGTCTAGGTATTTACGAATATTTTTATGCGGACATAACACGGGAAGTTATAAATGAATATTTTGTTTTCTCCGTCATTTAAACCTCATTCATTCAGCCTTCAGACATTTGAAATTCTTTATTTTTATACTTTTTTGTCACGTATTACGGATAGTTTCCGATACACACACATTTACATTAGTCAATATTTTCAAAGAGCTTTTAACTACTTATAATTTTGGCAGTAGTATGACAACTGTAATGATATTTTCAAATGACTCACTTGAATTTGTGTATTTTCTTCAGGACCCACATTTAGAACTTTCTGGTAACCTCATTCCAGCTGCAGCCTCAAATAATCACATTTATAATTCACAGGATATATATGACAAGGTTCGTTCTCATTTACCTGCTGATGAGCCACCGATAACAAGGATTCAGGATAAAAGTCTTCCTAATCCACATAGGTTAAACATTAACCTAATTGGAAGAAGTCCAAATGTTGTAAATCTAGTCACTGCTGCTGCTTCGTCCACAATCAGGCATCCTCAGTCATTTAAATTCAAAGTGATACAAAAAGATCAAAATCCTGTTAGAATAATGGATACAATGGGACCATTAGTTTCTTCGGCAGTTTGTCCAATTCACTTGCTTGTTATCAACCTTATTTTATCTGATGGAAGTACAATTAGTGCTCATACTATTCCAAAAAATCAAATTCGAATATCGTCATATGGTACACAGTATGTTTGGGACCCTGCTGTTCCAATTCGTCCTAATACTGAGGATGGAGAACAACGAGTAAATATTACTGTCCCAATAAACAGTTTAATTATTTGGCCTGCAAAAATAACTGATAAAGGTGATACAACCCATCATGCACTACCTTTGGCTATTATGGATGATGTCTTTGTTTATATTCGAAAGTCAGGGATGGTTCAAGACCCTGGAAACCCACAGAACCCAGCGATATGGTTTACTAGCGCTAAAAATGACAAAATATCAGAAAAGATCTTACATCCAGACAATCATGGGAAGGTAAATAAGTGGCCAGTTTTTAATTTCTCATTTATTTAACTTTATTATCTAGATGACGTCATGAAGGCTAAGTGTTTCTTATTTGAAATTTTCAATACCACAAAGACTTCTGCTTCCTGTGTTATATATATGTATATATATATATATATATAAATCTAAAAAGGTTTCGGATTTCTACAAGACACAGATTATGTTTTACAAATAATGGTGGCTTTCTTCATCTGAAACCCATAGGTAACTTAACAGCATCCTTAACGAAATCATTTCAAAAGTAGCTGATTCAAGGAATACAAAAAGATATTTTGTGTTTAGATTCCTATAATCCACCCCCGTTGGAGAAATACCTGGGAAAATACGCCCGCTGAATTTCGGCGGTAAATAAAAGGATACGTTTTCTGAAAAACCACAAGGAATCTTGAATATACAGAACTTTTTGAATCACTGACATATATATATATATATATATATATATATATAATAGACGTTTTGCTACTAGGAATAGCAGGCTCTTATATTCAAAAACCGACTTTCAGATTATTATTATTATTATTATTATATCCTTTAATTCCTAGAGGAACATAGGGTTTCAGCCATGTGTCTCCATTGCCTTCTGTTTTCTGCCAACTTTTTCACCCTGCTCCAAGTCTGCCCACACGCTTTCATCTCCTCTTCACATCACCTCCTCCAAGTCACCCTACCCTCGCACTGACGACCAACTCGCCACTTCCCTTTCACCTTCCACTCGAGCGATGGCTTGTCTACTGATGTCACTTGATGGTTTCCTCAGAATATGGCCAATCCATCTAACTTCATTTCTTCCTGCCTATTTCCTTCATAATCGGTTCCTGCTGGGTTGGTTCTCTCATTCCCAGAGATCTCTGTTGCTGATCTTTTCTGGCCGGCCATCTGATCTCGAGTAGTATTGAGCGAAGACAGCTGTTGATGAAGGTCCGAAGTTTGTTTGAGATGCTCTTTATGACGCGCTGTCCAAGTGTCTGATCCGTATAGTGAGTAGCACTGACTGACTTCACATTGGAGTTGAAAATCCGGATGTTATTTTTGATGGTGAGTGGGGCTGTTGACCTCCTCGACAGACTTACGAGTAATGAAAGCTTGTCTTGCTTTTCGGATTATCCTTGCTTTGATATCCTCGTCAGTTCCATCCGCCTGTAGTTGAAACGTTGCTTCCCAGGTCGGTAAAGGAGGTTGTTATTTTCAGGTTCCTCCCATTTATGCTGGCTAATTGTTATCTGTTGTTGTTGTTGATGTTGGCTTTCAGAACAATCTGCATATTTCCAAAATTAGTCTCCCTCAGGCAGAATTAGAAGCTTGATTCTCTCATTTTCCCCACAATTTGACAAGTATGAACAGAGGAAACTATCACTGATAAACTGAAGGGTATTCGACGGATTCTTGATCACTTTCTATTGGGAAGGCAAGAGGCCAAGATCAAATCAATATGGTTTCATATTGTTTCATAGAAAATGATATTGATTAACGCTGATTTCAGTGCATTTGCAGTAGTAGTTGAAGGAACTAACGCCACTATAATGTGCACCTGTAATTTAGTTTGCTTCTATGGAGGTCTCTCTACTGCTTTTTAGCTTATTACATTGTGTAGACATTCAAATGTGAATCAAATCAGTCAGCCAACGGTCAGCTAAACATCTATTGATTCCAGCTCATAGAAGCACACTAAGTTCATCTTTTAGGGTTATGTACAGTTAAATAAAATAAGTTAAGACGAGCAAGACCTCGCTATTTGTTCTCTGCAAAAGCATTGATGACTCTAAAATTTCATAAGTGTCACGCTAAGCCATTTTTAAATGTACCCAAACCCAATACCATCGTGTGCAGCCACAGAAATCAGAAGAAAGCTACCTTTACACAATGTTTGAAACCAATGGCTATTCCACCAATATTTTACCGAACAGCTCTTTCAACCAATAAAAATAATATGTTGTCATGTGACATCTGTTTTATTTTACACAAATCTCATTTTAATTCAGCATGATTTACTCTTTCATTGTTTCCTTTAACAGGATTCTTCAGCTGTATCGTCGAGTGCTGGATCATGGCTTCAGTTCAGTACTTTACTAACACTCAGTAATGCAGACAATTCAATGAAGTCGAATAACCATAAAAATCAGTATTCACAAGCGGTTCCACTCGTAACCTACATGTTGGTTTCTGTCGGTTGTTTAGCACTTATTCTGTTAATGATTACATGTTCAGTAATATTATTTCTTCGTAAGAAGCATTTAAGTCATCCAAAAACTGAAAACAAAAGTCAATTCAATCTTCTTTCAAATTATGAGGGTAGATTTAACGAAAGATCAAATCATTTTGATTCAGATGAACAAAATTACATCGAGGATAAAATTATTAGTGGTCGATTAACAGCATCCCATATGACTTCTTCAACAGGAGAACAATCTAAACAATTAAATGTTACACCCACATATTGTAACAAAAATTCTGGACAAGCCTTAATTGTAGGAGGGAGTGGAGCAAGTTCTTCTCCACATTGTATAGAAGGTCGAACACAGTTGGTATCTGGACGAAGTTGCAGTAGTATGGGTAGCATGAACAGTGGTACATTTATCAATACCAATATTAAGCATTCTATGATAGTAGATACAACTGTAAATCCTTATTTCATATGTTCTGAATCCTCATCATCCGGTAGACTTCAACATGCCTCACAACACAGTTGTTCTACAAACTTATCACCGATAAACACTCCTGGTTTGATAAGTTATCAAACGGATTACAATAATTCTGTCCCCCAGGGAAACTGGAATACACCTACAACAAACTTGTTAGTCCATCCAAATCATCAGCGACAGAGTTCCTATTCTAATACAGGTAATACAGACAAATGTTTGTTATGGCCTATGGGGCATCATGTCGGTGGACAACCATGTAACGGAGATTACACTAGTGGTCTTGGTTCTGTTGGTACAGCTGAAGGGTGCAGTGATGAAGGTGTCGCTTCTGGAATCGAAGTAAACAGCTTATCTCAAGAATTAAATAACAATACTAGTGGAGGAATAACCCACTTTCCAGGTTCAATGAGATGTAAGTTTAGCTCCAATACTCACTCCCAAAGGCATACTCCTAACGGTTATTGCTCAGCTCATGAAAGCCTCGGTGGTAGAATCAATAGCAATGGTAACAATGTTTCGATAAATCACTCTAGAGATGCATCAATAAAATGTAAACACACTATGACAAGTACAACTATTGATGATAATAATGGTGTTTGTGTAGGCGGTGGAAGCTTAAGCGGAACTAGTAGTGGAGCGGATATATCAGAATATCGACAAACTAGGGGGCAATTTGATTCACGCTGTCAAACAAAAAACAAATTAAACAGCCAGCCAAGTAATACTGGATACATTGTATCAAGTCAGACTGATGGAGGCATAGATTCAAATTGTTCCCAACGTTTAACAAATGTATCTAAGATCAGTGATTTCATAGGCGAGCGTAGTCCAAAGTCAAATTGTAAAATTAATCAGATGTTTGAAAGTTTTATACATGATAGTCCTCAAATCACATTCACTGCGGATGCTGGAGACGACTTCCAACGGAAAATGTTATCTGGGGAAAATAACATAGTAGCTAATACAATGTGTACAAATGCAAAAGACAGTATGATTAATAAAAGTAAATCTACATATGGCTCAAATAATCAGAACCTGCATTCTACAGTCAATCCCATTGGTGAAGATTATGATGGATTTGCTGTTCATGTGCCTCCTATGATGTTACTAAATAATCGTATTAACTCCACAACTTTGACGAAACCTTTAACTAATTCTCCACTACTTTTAAATCGGCCTTATGATATCGATGAGTACAATTCATATGAAAGGAAGCAGACATCACTTGGTTATAAAAGAAGTGATAGCTTTGGTATGGCAACTCATCGAATACAATCAGATCAGGAAGGCTGTATGCAGAATGATGATTTAGCACAAAAAATAACTTTTAATTCAGACTACTGTAGTCTGTCTAATAATGATAAACAAAGTATCTTTCTACAAGATTCTATGGTTGGTGGTGCAATTGATGAAATGATTGGTGATAGTTCAGATGTCACTGATGATGTTGGATTTCCTCAAAAGTTAAATGATAAGATTATAGAAAAATCTGAAAATCATAGTAATCGATCAAATTCAGATGGACTGTCTTACTTACACAATATACCACCTCCTGAAGTTTAATTAATATTCAATGATTTTTCTTCTTATTCATATTTCAGAAAAAAGCATTATGAAATAGGATCTATTTTCTAATGTTTTTCTAATGTCAGGAAAATAGGGGATTCGCTCAACTTATTTATCCTCGACACATTTGACTTTCTGGTATCAACCTACTTCCTAAGTTATAAGTTTTATTGTGGAACAACTACATAAATCTATAGTTGTCGATTCTTTAACATTCATTTTCATCACTCAAACTCTGTGTGTTTACCTGTGAATTATTTTCTTACTAATTATCATATAAATAGGCTGAATTTTAATACCCAACTGGTGCCTTATGTACAAAATAACAGCCTAAGTTGATGTGAAGTTTTCATAAATATGCATTTTTTTTAAACTGAGCACCACAGATCTATTTACACCCCGAAGTAAAACAAACTACTTACCACTAACAAATAATAATTTTTTTTAAATCCTTCTCATGACTTTGAAATGTATTGATTTTATTGATTTATTATTATTTTTCTTTTTACCTTGAAGTATATATATATATATATATATATATATATATATATATATATATATATATATATATATATATATATATATATATATATATATATATATATATATATATATATATATAGACTGTTTCAGTTTATCCAACTATCTTTTGTTATTCAAAGTGAAAGCATCCTCACTATTTATTGCATTTTGTTTGTGTTGAAAAATTATGCCAAAAGTTTTACAGTTGTTTTACAGTGTTATACAACCTTTTTTTATACGAAATTGTTCTTTTTTTTCTTAGTAATCTGTAAAGGTTAAATTTATATTAAGCTTGTAGCAAATAAAGAAAAAAAAGCTTTCTTGTATACTTGATCCTTTTTCAAATTTTATCGTCAGAACAAGAAGAATGAAAAAATTTAAGGAAGAAGTGAGGTGTGGGGATTAGGCAAAACTGATGTTATATAATAAGACAGATAAAATGATAATTGTATGTAATTAGTGATTATAGCTAAATAATATAATTCGATTATTTATAATATTACACATTGGGACAGTATTATGATTACTATTCCCATGGGTTCCGAGTGGAACATAGGGCTTCAACAACACAGATCTTCATTTTCTTCTGTTTCCTGCTGTCCTCTTCATCTGGGTCCACGACTGGCCACAATCTCTCATTCAATCCTCCCTAACAGACGATCTCCACCCTCGTATCGACTACCCACTCGTCGTTTCCTATTGGAATTCCACTCGAGTGATAGCCTGGTGAACGATATCATTTGACGACCTCGTCGGTGTATGTTCCATCCATCTCCATTTCCTCCTACATATGAGTTCTTTCAAGGTTGCAGATACGCCTTGCTGATGACTGCCAAGTAGCACGAAACCTAGGTGGCGTCCAAGACTTCCTGCCTATCGCCTTCAACTACCTAATATCATCAAATCAATGTGCACCATGATGGCAAGCTATCTAGGATGGTGGCCACATTTCAAAACCTGACTGATAGAATTTACTCTACTCCAAAGAAAGGACTAGACGCATCACACTAGTTACTAGTGTCCAATCAGAATACCCACTACAGTCCTACAGGAGGCCAATCGCGAGCCCGAATAGCTTAGTGGTATCGTCGCTGACTGCAGCACTGGGAAACGCGGGTTCGAATCTCAGAAGTGACATGACTTCTTTCAAGGTCACAGATGCGTCTTGCTGACGAGTGCCAACTAGCACGAAACCTAGGTGGCGTCCAAGGCTTCCTAGTGATTGCCTCCAACTATCTAATATCTCCTACATATTTGTTGAGCAATCGGCCCTTGGTTTGTTTATTACCAGGCAGAGTTTCTTGTTGATAATTCTTTATGGCCGGCTTACAATTTGATCTTCAATATGATGCCAGCGAAGGTAGCTGTTAATAACTGTTCTGTAACTCGTTAGAAATCCTATCGTGACACTCAGTGCAAGTTTTTGACCCATATAGAAGAACTGAATCACTTGATACTTGTGTTGAAAATCTGAATCTCGTTCTTTATACTCATTCAGTGCAGAAGATTCCCAGACTGGTTTCAAACTCATGTAGGTGTATCTTGCCTTTCCAATTCTAGCTGGCTTTGACATCTTCATCCGTGTCATCCGCCTGTAGTTGGAAAAATGTTTCCTAGATAAGCGAAGCCAGGAAGTAACCTCTGTCAAGTCTCTCCCGTTAATGGTGACTGGTGCTGGTTTTTGTTTGAAGTGTCACGACAGTATTTGTATTAGTTAGAGAACTACTGAAAACCAGGGAGTACTTGACAGCTATCTTGTCCTACCTAGTTATAAACTCACCAGCAATGCTCACGCATGACCCTGCCGGAGATCGAATCCAGGACTTTCAGCTTATAGGTTGAACACGCCGAGAACTTCGCCACTGAGACGGGATCCAATGACTCATGGCTTCTCATTCCTGTCAATTTGTGGTTGAATGCCAGTGGCGTTATAGGCATGTACTGATGAAGAGTCCCTGACTAGGGTAAAACAGCTGTGTAGTACTTCCTAGTTTTCGAGGTTTCTCTAACTGATATCCATTGACGACCAAACTTGGAACCGATCAACTCCCTGAAAGCCAACACTTGAATAGTATTCATTTTGTTTACTGTAATAAATACCACGAAAAAGATTTCATCTGCCTTTACTTTCATCTAAACAAATTACGTCAGACTACTATTGAGAAAGAGAAATGTATTTAACTTTAGTTATTGCAAACAGGCAAAGTTAATTATACACTTTTAGTTATCGGTAAATGGGAACATCGATTTGGCTACCTTTTATTATTATTATTGTTCCCTTGAGTTCCTAGTGGAACATATGGCAGTGGGCTTCAACTGCACGTCTCCACTCGCTTCTGTCTTGCTTCTGCTGTACTTTTCACCTCCATCCATGTTAGTTAGTCCATACTCTTTCAACTCCTCTTCACACCATCTCCTCCATGTCACCCTTGCAACAACGTCCCGCTCGCCGCCGCTTCCCTCTCGGCCTGGTTCCACTCAAGGAATGGCCTGACGCGCACGCAATGTCACCCAGCGGCCTCCTCAGCGAGTGAGTGTCCAATCCATCTCCACTTTCTCCTGCATATTTGGTGGTTGGCGATTGGTACTTGTTTTGTTTTGTTTGTTCCCAGCCATAGTTTCTTGTTGTTGATTCTTTCCAGCCCAGTCATCTGATCTTCAGCATAGAGAGAAGACAGTTGTTGATAAAGGTAACGTCTGCAACAGGCTGTTGGAAATATTCTTTGTGACCCACCCGCCAAGTTTCTGATCCATCCCGTATAGAAGAACTGACTGACTTGACGTTGTTTGTATTGAATTGAATCCGACCGAATTTTGTTGTTGATGCTGAGTTGAGTGACGAGGATTTCCAGATTGGTTGTTGCAGATTGGTTGATGAATGTGTTTCTCGCTCGATTTGACATCCTCGTCCGTCCCGACTTCCTGTAATTGAGACAATGTTCCCTAGATAAGTGGATGAAGTAGCCTCTTTCAAATCCCTCCCGTTGATGGTGATTGGTGCTGGATGTTGCTGTTGCTGCTGTTGTTGTTGGTTGGTTGGTTATTCTCATCACCTCTGTCTTGTCTATGTTCACCTGGAGTCCTGTCGTCGCCGGCTGCTTCTTCGACCAGTTTGTCGGTCGGTTTTCGCTTGTAAGCCTTCGATTTTGTGTGACATCAAGCATAAATCATCCGCGAAATCCTTGGCTACCTTTAACCAGATGTAATGTGAAAATCTAATTATTTGTCTACTTTTAGCTCCGGATGTCAAAACTTTTGTGTCCTTCTACTACTTAGGATCCGGTTATTCTTCTGTACACTATCATAATGTTATATCTATTATTGAACTGTATTTATTAAACATGCATATCTAACCTTGTAGCTTTTTTCTTCTAGTGATGGTATGTTAAATAATCAGTAACAAGAGAAAATATCTACAGCTCACAGTATTTCATCCACAAATTACTTTATTCCTTTGCGTTCCGAGCTGAACATAGAGCTTCAAGGTTGAGCTTTGAAGTTGCAGTAGCAATGGGGTTTTTACGGGGTGAAGTAGCTAGCCACACGCCTAACCTCCTCTGTTTTTCAGGCTTATAACCGGTGGGCGCCAAACGGCGATGGAACCCCGGACCGTGTGCATGGTTGTTGACCACTCTACGGCTGAACCACTAACGCAGACAACTCACAGTGTATATACTCAGCATAGAAACAAATCATGCTTGAACCTTTAGAAGATGTATGAAACTGTCAGCCTACTTAGCATCATTCGCTCAGTATCATCAAGTCAGAAAGGAAAAAGTAATGATACAGATGTTAGCCATAGCTTATTATTATTATTGTATCCTTTAGTTCCTAGAGGAACATAGGGCTTCAGCCATGTATGTGTCTCCATTGCCTTCTGTTTTCTGCCAACTTTTTCACCCTGCTCCAAGTCTGCCCACACGCTTTCATCTCCTCTTCACATCACCTCCTCCAAGTCACCCTACCCTCACACTGACGACCAACCCGCCGCTTCCCTTTCACCTTCCACTCGAGCAATGGCTTGTCTACTGATGTCACTTGATGGTTTCCTCAGAATACGGCCAATCCATCTAACTTCATTTCTTCCTGCCTATTTCCTTCATAATCGGTTCCTGCACTGTTGGTTCGCTCATTCCCAGAGATCAATCGCTGTTGCTGATCTTTTCTGGCCGGCCATCTGATCTTGAGTATTGAGCGAAGACAGCTGTGGATGAAGGTCCGAAGTTTGTTTGAGAAGCTCTTTATGACGCGCTGTCCAAGTCTCTGATCCGTATAGTGAGTAGCACTGACTGACTTCACATTGGAGTTGAAAATCCGGATGTTATTTTTGATGCTGAGTGGGGCTGTCGACCTCCACACAGACTTAAGAGTAATGAAAGCTTGTCTTGCTTTTCCGATTCTGGCTTTGATGCCATAGCTTAGTTTTTCATATCCATCTAATTGTCTAACTTATTTAAGCAGATGTATTATAAGGTTCTGGTAAAAGAGCTCTCAGATGTTATTTTTCTCAAGGTGAAATTGTTAATATGCAGAACACTCATTTCTGAATATTTTTCAGTGCCTAATTATGCATATTTTCATTCATTTGGATTTAAATGAACCACTAGAGTTTGAGTAAAATTCCAGCCACGCCACCTGCGCGGCTCAAATGAGACTGACAAGTGACCACATAGCGTATTGTTATGTTTCGATTGAATGCTAACTCTGACTCTGGGTTAACAAACGGTTATTTCTGCCTCAATTACTTGCACATACCATGTCAGGAAATTCCAAGAGTTTGTTTTGGCTACTCATCAGTAATGTAATTCAATATATATACTTCAAAATACCGGTTCTTCTCATACATTTATACCAGTTGAGGCAAGATATGGACTGGAGTAAGGAGCAAGACACCCCAGTTCGTTTGATAGGAAGGTAAGGAACTATATTTTTATTGATTTTACTAACAAATGGTTTGATGCCCCTTAACTAAAGAGACATATGACTTGGTTTGGAAGAATTTATTCTTTTAGATGA